TTATACACCTGAAGATAGTTCTTTTAGAACTGAAACATGTCGTGTAAAAAAGTGATGTTCTAATGTAAATCGAACATTTCGATGAGAACATCATTTAATATATTTTAAATATTTAAATGTTAATTATAGTAATATTTTAATATTTAATAGGAACTTTATTGTGATTAGACTGACAAGATTTAAACAAATATATATTTATCACAATATGACGCAACTTTATCATTTCACAACGTAAGACTTTCGCAGCGCCATGTTGTAGAAGAAATTGTATATAATGTTATTGACCGTCTCTACACACGAGTTTTATAAATTTTTGCAATTTAATTTATTTAGTGATGTCCTAATGTCTGACATATCGACATGTTTCGGACCTATGAGTACATCTTCCGGTCTTAATTTCTTTCAATAAAAACCACTTCGCTACTGATAACAGCTGATTAACAGTTATCCCAAATTCTTCAGATTAAAATTTTTATGAACGTTCAAGCGATTAAATAATTTGCTATTAATTATTGATAAAATGTCACTAGTTCTTCTAACGTTACGTACGTAAAAAGTACTCCTGGTTGTGTGTTATATCGTATGGCTTTCTCATAAAAGCAAGCAGAATGCTTTGTTCAGGTGTTACGTGCATATTACATTGTAAACGCTTTATGTATGTAACGTTTCTCTGACGTGTGCAAGAGGTTCTGACCAGCGGACGCCTGTCCAAGCAATCGCAGAAAGTTGCCTCACAATGCGTCATTATCACATATTGCTGTCGCTCATTGTGAAACATAGCGTTATCAACCTGGAAAAGTGTCGATATTTAAATATAATGTGTGTATTTATATGCGGGACAGTGTTGATTTGAGTATCCCTTTAGATCTCTGAACACCCCAATTAAACGACATATTATCCTAATCAGTTATTTTTAATGGTGCAGCAATTCGACTATGGAAACAAGAGACGTCACTGTTTTTTCCATTCTCATGTGACTATGTATCACTTGAGGTCATATGACTATGCAGCTTGACAGCACTGTCATTGGTCAGGTTGGCCAATATAAATTGAAGAACGACATTAAATTGTGAATAGGACAAGTTGCTGACGGTGGCATTTCATGTGTTGGTAGGCGTGGAGTTTTCATGTGTAACATGAAACTGCAAGTTTTGTAGTAGTGCGTCTGAGGTGTATATAATGCTGAAGAAGGTAGAATAGCCATATCAAACGAGTGTGGTGTTTGAAGCTGTGTTGACGTGTTTCTAATTCACCTATTATAAATCGGTAAGTACTGCGTCTGTGTTGTCACATTCCTTTCTGTTTCAGTAATACAGTCTGTGAATGCAAATTTTGCAATTTGGTGGTGACAGTTACTAGAACCTTCCTAAATATAAATCTTTTGTTCACAATAGCAAATAAAATAAAAATTAACATTTTATTAAGCCACTATTTACAAAGTTTTTCAAACTAATAGTGTTTAAATTATCTGTAGTACATCCATTGGCCAACCACTGGCCTTACTAATAGTTAGAAAGGTGCTTTCTGTACAGGGTTCAAGCTCTTCAGTACTCTTTCACTACTCTGATATTGAAAGTTTAAACTTGGTGTGAATGTAGTTAAGTTAGTATTGAAGGATTATCTTTATGCCACTCTTTATGTTCTGTAGAAGAATTTACTTTGATTGAAGATTTTTAAGATGAAATTGGATACAGAAGATGCAGGGCTGAAGCAAAAAGAGAAGTGGAAAAGAATTAAAGAGAGACGTGGAATACTTTTATATCAAGATTAGAAATCGTTGCATCAAAACCATGACAAAAAACAAAATCACAGTGTGTTGAAAAATGATACCAGAGAACAAGTAAAAATCACTCTGATAACAAAGGAATCCTGGTTGCAATATTTCCAAGACTTACGGACTCAGAAAAGAAGACTCATTTCTTAATTAACAAACAGATAACAATTGTACAAAACCAATACTAGAAGAAGAATTAAATTCAGTCCTGAAAAGAATAAAAAATCGTAAAGCCCCTGGAGAAGATGGATTGAATAGAGATCTCTTTAAATATGCTGGAAAATTATTTACTTCCTAATTTCTCAAACTTTTAAACAATATATGGAACAATAGTATACTCCCAAAAAGTAGTTGTGGTACCACTCCATGTCTTTATATTTCAGATGTACTTGACAGTACAAATTGGTAGTAATTTGCGTATTGGGATCATATATTTTAGGGTGGCTTTGTTGTCACCGGTAGTAATTCGCGTATTGGGATTATATATTTTAGGGTGGCTTTGTTGTCACCAGAAATTGAGATCCCTATAAAATAAAGTTCAAGAGACATTTTGTTCCTGCCACTGGATAGTGAAGATTAAAGGTCTATACATCTACCAATATCAATATGGATGTTGCATCATGTAGTCCGGTAGATATTAACTGACATTTCACTTGTACTTCCTGCCTTCATCATCTGGTTGATGAGACTAATTTTCATACTCATCACCATGAGAACATGAGATTTCATCATCCAGTGTTGTTTTTCCCTGCATTAGGCCCTTATGATGGGGGCAGGTATAACTCATCTGAAGGTTTCAGGTTAAATTACTTTCAAATTATTTAAAAATGCCACTTCATCCTATGTCATCGTATCCGTCCCTTTTCACTTTATGTCCAGCTTCTGTTTCATTTGGAGATCAGCATGGTTCTTATTAACTATTAGTGAACTAATTTCTATTGAGATTTTACATTCACACTGTCATCTTCAAATTTAATGTTTTCGAAAATGTCAGCTGAGGTAACTCATTGTAGTGACAGGCAGTGGACTTTGTGACTGGTTCAATTCCTTGCAGAGGCGGGGTATCTGTCTTCCATATCATGTCACTACTGTACCCAGCCTCCTGTCTAGTCCCTTCCAGGGGGTGAAGTGGCTGTAGCTGTCTGAATTTAATAGTGCATGAAGCTTTGTCTGTGTCCTCATTATGCCATGCATTATTTTCAGACATCAGGACGAGTTTGCTTTTACCTTTTCTATTCCACCATACACGACTTGATTATTCCGGTTTACTCTTGTATTTAGTTGTCGTCTGAGAATGAGTATCATTGCAATATTTATTGAAGACTGATGGTTGTAATGTTGGTTTATTTATGTTGCTGACATGTATACTGCCTTTAAGTTCTTTCCTTCCTGCATTTTTACCTTCTTTTGCTTTATTAATCCATTTTCTAATTAATCCTCATGACTCGGTGAATACATTATGTATTTGATGTCATTTAAGTAAATGTATTAAAGATCACATGAATTGAATATTAATAATTCTTAACTTCAGGTGTCGCTGACTTAATGAACATGGCTCAAGAGAATACAGTATCTTTCAAAGTGTTCCTGCAGGACGAACATGAAAGCGAAGTACGTCGGTTTGGTGTGGACCGTAATGTGGTGGCCAATTTTAACTACCTTAAGGAGAAACTGCAAGCAGTTTTCCCATCCCTGCGTGGGCGTGTCTTTATCGTTGCATGGAAAGGTAACCAGCAATGAAATTTGATGGAACACGGAGCAACAAATTTCCTTAACCATTTTTCCTCATGTATTAACAGGAAATATGGGGATTGATGTAACACGTTTCCTTACTCATTTTAATTTTATTCATGGGGTTTAGTTTACATTCCAGATTTTTCATCTTATCGTTTAATATCTTTGTTTTACTATCTGTTTAACCTCATGCTCAAAATGAAGACTTGGTGTGTAGAACACAAGGAAATTTTGTTTCTTGTTCTTCGTGAGGATTTTCCCATTTTTATGGTACTAATGCCGTCAAATAGGTACTTGCTGGTCTTACTGTTTAGCCCATGCATGTTAAGTTTAGTTTATTTCTTTGTCCACAGATGCCGATGGTGATGAAATCATCATTTCCAGTGACGATGAATTGATAATTGCACTAACTGAATCACAGACAGAAGTGCGCAAACTATATGTAACCCCACATGCTAGATCTGCAGAACAGCATGAACATTTTTTTCAAGGTCAGTGTAATTTAACATGTGGAGGATCGAATTTGTTTGATCACAAGTGTCAAGACTGATGTAGAAAGTAGGAAACTGCACTTACAGTGGTCGCAGATTAATGGCCTTCAAAGTAGACTTCTTATTTGACCTATTTCTGCAAGTGGATGGAAGCACCCCACAAACTAACTTTCAAACAAACTGTTTACACTATGAATGTTAAAGTTAGGAAACAGGAGAAAAGTCGCAATGGACCATATCTGTTGCATCTGTTGACTAGTTGAGTGAATAATTGCTTCTCTTCTGTAAGGTGTGCGTAGTTTGTTAACGATCATAACCATGGTCATGGTGCAAAATATTAAACTAATTTTGCACTAGTGGAAATTACACACACGAGAGAAGCAACTGTAATCCCTGTTGCGAAAGCCATTAGAGACTGCTCCCTGGCAACTAGGTGCAGAGCAATCAGCCTCGCTAGTTGCCTGTGCAAGACAATGGAACACATGGCAAACCGTCGTCTTGTTAGGGTCACGGAGAACTGAAACCGCTTCTCAAAGTCCCAGTGTGGATTTTGATGCCATAGATCTCCCCTTGACCACTTTGTGAACCTGGAATACATACAAAATGCCCTTATCCTATGCCAGCACATTCTTGCCATCTTCTTTGACCTGGAGAGGCCACATGGCACAACTTTGAATTATGGCGTCCTCAGAACCTTTCACTGGTGAAATCTTTGGGACTATCCAGGCCCATTATTTCTGTCCTTGTGAATATCTCATCTGCAAGTTATCAGGAAAATGGAGTGCCACTAGGATCAGTTTTTGAATGTGATGCTGTTTGCAGTTGCCACCATCGAATGCTGGCTTCAGAGAACTAAGTGGTCTGTCTCAGTGGGCTGTGGGGAAGGGATCAGTCCCAGTGGCTGCTTCTGTACAGCCTTATCAGTGGTGGTTTGACAATCTCTTTTCTAAACAGATTATACAGCGAGGCCCTTTTACAAGTGGGAAATCGGGTTTCACCTGTTTTGCTACCAACCGCACTTGCAGACTTTTACCTATTGTTGTTACGCAATAATCAGAATATCTTATTTATTGTATTGCAAATGAAAATGTTACAGCAAGTTGAATTGAGAAGTTTGCTTGAGTTCTGCTGTTTGTGATTAAACTTTGTTGAAAACGTGTGCTTTCTCTCTTCGCTATTGCAGTTTGGCTAGTGATAAAAGTTGGAATTTTTAGTACTTTTTATTGTCACATTCAGCTTAAGCAGTAAAGTGTGATAATTCTGTCTCAGGTCTGCATCAGCATGTCGGTGTGGCATGTGATGTGTGTGAGAAGGCAGTGCAAGGGTTTCGCTACAAGTGCATTCAGTGCCCTGACTTCGATCTTTGCGCCACCTGCGAGAGCAAGAGTCATCATCCTGAGCACTGCATGATACGCATACCAGTCCCCACATCTTGGGTAAGTGATGTTCATTTTAAGGATTTCAAAGTTGAAAGTGTGACAAAGTTTAAATATTTGGGAATAACAATAACAAATCAAAATGATATTCACAAAGAAATTGGGAGGAGACTCAATTCCAGAAATGCTTGCTACTTCTCGGTTCAAAATATTTTGTCTTTCCGTCTGATTTCCAAGAACCTAAAGATTAAAATTTATAAAACAATAATTTTGCCTGTTGTTTTGTGTGGCTGCACTCACTCTCGGGGAGGAACATGGATTGCGTATTTTTTAAATACATGGGTTTTTTGTGAAATAGCAGAATTACACAATCACTTATTAATTTTGTGACATCGTTAGTTTCTGACAAAATAAAACCACAATTTAATATTATAAATAATAAATAATAATGCTAAAAATGTAAGGGAAGCAGTATGCAGGATCTCAAGTCTTTGTTTGCACCGTACTCTCAGTATTTTGCATCATCATACTGTCCGTCTGCATCTGGTGTCTGTCATACTGAAAAGTAAGTATTTATAAAATAAATCGGTAACAGAAAACTGTCATTGATGTTGTCATCACATATGGGGGTTCAAAAACATGAAATAACATTGAATGGTTCTGTTGCCTTGGACCACTTGTATGATGATGCATATGCAGGCAAGAAACAGTTTGTTAGTTCTAACAAACTGTGTTGGTGTGATCGACTGCCGTGCCCTCCAGGGGTCACTGAATTACTGTCATTAAAAGTACTTGGTAATCAGTGTTTGAAGAAATGTGTGTATTGCGGGCTTGGTGTACAAGTTACTGACTAAATTGCTTTTATTCAAGTGCAGTCATTATGCTGATTGGTGTTCCTGACACCTCGGTATGCTAGATGCTGTTTTATTAACCAGTGGTGTTTCCATTCAGTCGGTTCGAATCATTTTGTATGTAAAGCAAAACTTGAGTTTTCATATATGTAAAGAATTTATTTATTACAAGTATTGTGCAAATATAGTTAAATGGTACATAATTCATACATTGCAGTAGAGACACTGAGATAAATTGACTTTGATTAGACTAATTTTTGACAATTTGTTTGTACCAATCCAGAATGTTAAACGTTTCGTGTCCGTAGGTGTTGCAGACTGACTGACTGGCTTTCATTTTGATTTTAGCGTCCTCACTTTGGCAGACGATTGGCCCATCACCTGGCAAAATCAGCACACAAAAGTGGGTGGGAGCCTGAGGCAGGCCATTGTCCATGGAGACCTCATGGTGGGAGGCGTCATGGTGGGAGACATCATGGTGTAGCACCAGGGTGGTTGGAAGCCCTTGCTTCGTACTTCAACGAGTGGACAAATCTTTCAGGCGAAGAAGAACCTCCCGTTAATGATAACTCCGCTGGCCCTTCAAGTAGCAAGCAGCACAAACAACAAGAACAGCAAGAAGATGCCCATATTCAGTATCTGAGAAACATCGGACAGACGGTGGCCAGTGTATTGGATCCGTTGGGTGAGGAGGAATTAGAAATTTTCCATTTCTCTTTACTTTGTTATTATAGAATAAGCAGAACCTTTTGCAAGAACTTTATTATAGGGAGCATAATAATTGGCATTGTTGATTTGTTCAGGCTGTGTGTATGGAAAATGTATAAAACGAGCTCTCCCAGCGTCAACTGTTTTTTCTTTCCAGGTTTGCTTCTGATGTTGTTTAAAATGAGTAGAGTGTAAGCATATCAATAATTCACCCTTTCAGCGACTTTAGTTGGAGGGAAGAAAGTCTGTATTCCAGAACATACGCTTTGCGTCATTTATCTTGGAATCATAAAGAAGGGGGTGGGAAGGTCACACTGAATGTACGGCGCTCAGTGCTGTTCTATGGAATAACGTTCGTGTACACAAATTATAATATGCGATGGACAAAAAGTGGGAGGTGAAGGCAGGATTGGACAAAATGTGAGCTGGATGCTGTGTTACAAACATTCATGCCGTATTGTGATTCTTAGGACGCTGATCTTCATGTAAACTAATATACACGTTGTGATTTTGTGACTTACGCATAGCAGCTGGTGTCTTGCTGCATTTACACAATACTAATATCTTTTACCCGGGTTTTAAGTGTGTGGTTTCTTCATTGTGCTGTTTCACAGACATGAAGTCCTTCATGTCAGGTCACAGGTCACTGCACTCATCGTTTTCATAAAAGGACTGACCTTTCTTCTTTTAAAATTTAGGAAGAATGCCACAGGTTTTGAGTAAAGCCCTTCTTTGTTTCAAAATGTGTTGAGACATACCAAGCTCAGCATTGATCTTTATTGACCACCTGTGGGATGTCACTTTTTCAGCTACACTTAGGACTAACTGAAGTGTCAATCTGACATTTTACAGAAGTCTCTCATATTCTTTACCAAGTTGGATCGGTTTCAGAAGTTCAGATTCTCCACAATTCCCTGGATGCAGCGTGGCATGTAGTTTTATTGAATATTCTTTGTATCAGAAGATGCCTGTTGCAACTTCCATTTACCAAGAGCAATCTGTTGTTCATTAACTGATACCTTTTTTCATCACTTACAACACGTCTTCATAATGTCAAAGCTGTTAGTAAAGGTATGAAGATAAGCACAGCAAGTGATTAAACATTGAGAAGAAACTTCTCCTTTTCCCCCTACCATCTCAAAATTCACTATTAAAGAAATTGTTTCTTTAAAATGTGGATTTCTCACATGTGGACTGAAAAAATAAGTTGAAATTCGGAATGTGCATAAAGAAAACGGTGACTGGTAACCGCTTCAAATTTTTGTTGAGTTATTCTTTACCCAACGAGTTTCATATAACTGGAAGTATCTATGCTTTTAATGCAAATTTATGAAGTTTTTTATTTATTTTTAAAATTCAGGATAAAAGAAATTTTACTCTATCATTAGGTAACTTCTTATATGCATTATGTATGGACCAAGTTTCATAGAAATATGCCTATTATCTTTGGAGATTCAAATGTTTTTCCAAATATGTTGATACCACCACTGAGCGGAGAATGACCTCTTGTCACCCAAGTTTCAGTATTCTGTATCCACAAAATGGATGGGTTATTTGGCACAGTATTTTTAAATTTTTTTCTTAGGTTATAGCAGCCTATAAGTAGGCCGAGTTTTGTTAAAATAAAAGAATCCAGCTTCCATCATCTGGTGTACCTTCCATTATGAGTTCATCAAATGCATTTTGTGCAGAGGACCTAAAGCATTCCTTCAAAATCACATTCTTTGTTTTCATGTGAGGTGAATTGAACGAGAAAAAAAGAATGTTGTGGCTTGTCGTCTGCCGTTGGTCTTGTCTCTTATAAGTGGAAGAATATTTTAACCAGATTTGTGTATTTGTTACAGGCATTGATGTGGATATAGAGGTGCGAACTAGAAACAAGGATGAAAAAGCAGGAGATGCAAAGAATAAAACTGATAATACAAAAGATGGGAAGAATAATGTTTCTGGGGAAGAGCAGACCAATGCTATGGAGGTAGATGAGAAGCATCAGAAGGAAGCAAGTGCATCAGCACCCAGAGCTGAGCGTGAAAGTACAGAATCTGAGGGCTGGACGGTTGTGAATCAAGATGCCACGCAGCAAGGTATGCACCTCCATTTGAGTTCCTATCTGTCATGTCTTGAGTACCTGGGACGCACTGAATTTGCTGTATTAGAACACCATTATTACTGCAGTAGTAGATTCATATCAATATGTGATAAAACTGAATGTCTCATTCACTTTTGTATTTGATCGATATAAATGATGTATAGCCAACACGTCACTAGTGCGTCCGATTCTGGAATATGGTTCAGTGTGCTGGGATCCTTACAGGGAGGGACAGATAAATGAGTTAGAACGGGTACAAAAGAAAGCATGTAAATTTGCATATCATAGGAGCAAAAGATAGCACATATATGTGCTCTCTTCAAGGCGTACACGGGAGAACGGACATGGAAAGCTATAGATGACAGATTGCAAAGGCCATGCTATCTGAGCAGGGTCGATCATGTTCGGAAAATTAGGAGCAGAAAGCAAAGGACAGATATCGGGAAATATTCCTTTGTAAATAGGACCCTCCAACTCTGGAACCAGCTACCTGCGGATGTTTTAGGGAATCTCTCCTGTAAAGCAAGTACTTTTAGGAAGAAGGTTAGGAAAGTGATAAATGAGGTGAAGTGGAGGTAAATCGGGGTGAGAATGGAAAGGCTTCATAAGTGTAGTGAAGAGAAGAGAAGGTCGTGATGAAATGTGAGTGCGTCAGTTCATGACGTATGTAATTCATTACTGTTACTGACTTAAGTTGTCAACTTTAGGTTATCTGTTGTGTTTAAATACTTGTGCCTTATGGTTTTGTAATCTTATGAATTGCTTTGTTGTGTCTTTTTGTAGCTCCACTGCCACCGAGTATGAACCCATTTGCAGTTAATATATTTGAAACATTTTATATTATTTTAGACTAAGTATAAAATTGAAGAAGCACTTCGTTTTTAACGCAAGTTTAGTGACGGGAGAATGCATCAGTCAGTCAGCTGTGTCAGTTGGTTACACAATCAGACCAACACTTTGGGAACTTTCTCCGTCCCCATCAGAGTTCTGATGAGTTCAGTCATGACGAAAGCGTCAAATCATATACCTGTTGACTTAAAAATATAATGAAATTAACTTTGGTGCAAACTATTTCATCATCTTGTAAGGTGATACAGTATAACAGAAATGTATGTAGACCCACACACTGCCGAGGTGCTGTTTGAGGACTCGTGTAGTGTATCATCTTGTTCTGAGTTATTTTTATATTTCTGGAGTAAGGGGTGACTTGCTCTGGATTTAGACATAACTGATTTCAGTCAGTACGTTTGGTTTTGTGTCCTACTGACTTCAATGGGCCACTCCACTCCGCTGCTGGATGTATAAAAGTGATTTACATTTCACATGTTGTCTTAGTAGGAATTTGCTGCCATATTAATATTCTTACAAAAATAAGATGACTTACTGTCAGTTAAGTGGTTGATATACCTGTGTTACCTTTAAATGTAATTAACTTTTCTGTTGTGTAGGCATTGCCACTCCCAATCCATCTGCTGTAGCTGGCGCAGGTGCAGAAACCGCGACTGCACCACAGCATTTGGCCACAGCATCAAGCTCCACATATAACAGCGCGCCAGTGTCGAGTGGCAACATGTATCCCAGTGTGTTTGCTCTGCCAAACCATGCTCCTCTCCCGCCTATGCAGCCTCCACTTCTTCCCCAGCCGGTGCAGATGCCTCTTCCTGCCAGCTCCTTGTTTGTTCCACCACAGGCATTCATACAGCACTCTCCTGCCGCAAGTAAGTACTGCAAGAGTTGAATTTGTTTTTTGAATATCTGGCTCCTCGTCTTCCTGTCCGTTCTAGTTGCAGTTGCTAATTCAGAAATGTCTTGACCATTTATGCATTCTTCGAACAATATTAAAGATTTATTCATCACATAATATATTTACAATCAAACTTTGCTGTAGCGTCTAATATTGAGTGCTTCTAAATAAATCTCCATAAAACATCTTTTCTGCCTCTCTTACAAAGACATTTGTTTATAACAATATCACAGCCTGTTCTCACCCCCACTTCTGTGCAGTATGACAACACTCTTGTGTCCGAGACCCTTTTTAGACAATACTGAGTGATGGTAAATGCTCCAAATTCTCGGCACCGTCAGAAAAGGCATGCAAAAAGTACATTAGCTTCAGTAACAAACAGCCTTGGAAAACAGACAATGGCTTTAGTTGCAAAGAATACGCAGATGTTATAAACCGTGTAACGGTGGCGTGGAAAAGCGATTGGAGAAGTTTGTTGTAATACGACCTTTTGACATTGTCTTTAGACCAGTAAAACTTGCCAATTGCAAAATAGTGATGATTCTGAAACTTCTGAAATGTGATATTTGAGTGTGGACCATATAATCGTAAGGGGACCTGGTTGATTTTTTACCCTCTGATGAATGAAAAGTACCGAGATTCATGACTGTGTTTGTCGCTCCAAGCTGAAACAAGTTTGTCATCTTCCCTATTTTGTTGTGTCTTGGATGTTCTGGCATTTCTTCTCTGATTGCTGTTACCATATTCATCAGCCAACTGTGCTGATGTGTAGACATAATATCCACCAAAAGATGGGTTGGTTGGGTCTTTCACAAGAGCAGAGTTTAATTCTTTTACTACTTGTGAAGTCTTCAATAAGTCAGGGTTCCTGTTTTCACTTGTACCATGAATACTGTGAGGTAGTAGGAACGTCATTGGCTTCGTGGCTTCATATGTTTCGAAAGATATTGTGCTTTTGTCAGCAGCGGTCCTGGGCGAGTAATGCTGGATGCACTTTCATCTTAAATCCTGTTTAAAGTGAATCGGTATTAAGAGTAGTTCTGCTTACAAAGTGCAGATGATATCTCCATGTAGATCCATATGTGACGGCAGATTGTTTTGCTCACAGGGCCACACATAGCTGACGCAGTGGAGAAGATGATGTCCATGGGATTCAGCAATGAGGGTGGTTGGTTGACCCAGCTGCTTGAAAGCAAGAATGGAAACATTGAAAAAGTCTTGGATGTGTTGCAACCTGTTAAGAAGATTTAAAAAGAAACAAGAAGGCATGTATTATTTTTTGCTTGGCAATTTAATGTAGAAGGTTGTGGTATAGATGTATTAGAATGTTCTTTATAACACATGCATTATATATTTGTCTTGTTTTATTTTATTATCTTTTTGATTGCTGCAGAATTTCAGTTTCGCAAAAAAGAAAAGGTGTGGAGCTGCATGTGTTTAATTAATCAAACTGGTAACTTTACCTTTTCTACCTTGCAAGGATAGATGGGTGTCATATATATAGGGTAGAGAAGGCGTGTCTAGTATTTTAACATGCCTGTACTTGGTGTATAAAGTCTGATTTGAGAACTGGTTACACTTCATTATGTTGCATATGTTCAATAAATTGAAAATAAAGATTTGTGACTACGTTATATTTTCTTACGGTTCCGATTAAAGTATTCACCTCTTAATTCCATCTAGCACATACGGAAACTGCAACAAATGATAGTGGCTATTAAAACACTGCAGTCAACAAAACAATTGACAGGATGGTTGCAAATGGCGTGAAACGCGAAGATAACTAAGAATTTTCCAAATTTTAGGCAAAATTTTTGAATTCGGAAATTTTCAAAAATG